GCCTAGGTTGCAGGTTTGATCCCTAGCCCCAGTCAGGGTGCTTGCAGAAGGCAACCAGTTAATGTCTCTCTCACATCAATGTTTCTCTCTCTCTTCCCCCATTCCCACCTTTCCACTCTCTCTAAAAAATCAGTGAGGGAGCCCAACCAGCATGGCTCAGTGGTTGAGCATCGACCTGTGAAACTAGTAGGGCACGGTTTGATTCTTGGTCAGGGAACAAAATAGAGGGCATGCAGGAAGCAGCTGGTCAACGATTCTCTCTCATCGATGTTTCTATCTCTCTATCCCTCTACCTTCTCCCAAATCAATAAAAATATAGTTTAAAAAATCAGTAGGGGAAAAATATGAAATAAATATGTAAAAAATAAAAAACAAAAAATAAGGCTATATAGTGCTTCATTAGATAGATGTGCTAGTTTATTCAGCCAGCCCTTTATTGATGGATATGCTGCAGTGAACATGGACCACCATCATGTACTTGTGTGAACAGATCTATAGGATAAATTCTAAGCACTGTAATTGCTGGTTCAGGTTGTAAACATTTCAAGTTTTGATAAGAATTGCCAGTTTGCCTCTGAAAAGTGATAGCTTATACCCTGTCCAAGAAGGGGGATGGGTGTGTTTCCCTACACTCTCACCAATCCTGGACTTTATATACTATTTTTAATTTTCACAAAAAGTAAGAGGGGAAATTCTATCCAGTTTTGATTTGCAATTCTCCAATTATGATGAAATGTAGTTTTCTTGGCCTTTTTAGGGTCGGTGCGGCAGTGGGCTTTATCCTTTCTGCATCAGAAGCGCCTCTAGTGCCGTGGGAACAGAGCTCTTCACACCTGTGCATGCACTGGTGCTGTACTTGTTTGTCTCGCTCAGCCTGCACATGGTCCCTTGGTACTTACTTGGTCTTTGGAAATGCTTTTGGAAGGAGAGAGGGAGGGAATGAATACCTGCTCATTTAGATGAGACCAGTTTTGGGTAAACTGATGGCACTCAGAGTACTCTTAACACCCTCCTAGGTTGATAGTTTTGATTTTATGCTTAAATGAAGCTGCCTTATCAAGGCACTATCTCCCCAGAGTGTTCTAAGTGGGCATCATGGCTTATGGAAAATGTCTGACTGCAGTCCAGATCATGTGAGGTCCTATGCGTGTAGTTGGGATGCCACTGGTAGCATTTCCAATCACTCCCTCCCGACCTTTTCCCCCAGGTGATGAAGGTGCTGGAAGCAAAAGGCCCAAGATGGAGTTATCGGAAGAGGAACTGAAGGCCCATGTCAGCAAGGGCACGCTGGGTAAGCTCACTGTGCCCGTGCTGAAGGAAGCCTGCAGGGTGTATGGACTGAGGGGCGGGATGAGGAAGCAGGAGCTGCTGGATGCGCTCGCCAAGCACTTCCAGAAGGACTGAGTGACACCCTCCAGCCGCCACCCTTCCGCCCTGGAGCCAGGCTGCCTGACAAAAGCCAGAACTTCACATTTATGAGACTTTCTGTTGCTAAGGAGGCAAAGTAGTCCTCCCACTTTGTTGTGCCTTATTCTGACTGAATAGAGCCCTAATTTTGTACTAAATGCTGTTTTTTAGTGTGAAAGAAACATGTGTCTTGCATCCAAAGATCATTTGCTATTGGCTATTAGCTTAATTTTCTCACATCATCACAATGGGAACAAAATGAACACCAGTGAAGGTAGGGACAGTGTGATGATTAAGGACAGATGAGCAGATTTCAGGAATGACAAGCCCCAGCAAGATCCTGTCCTCTCCTCTTTTCCTTTAATTGTGTCCTATTAACCACTAGCGTGCCGGGGAGTGCTGGGAGCGCTATCGCACTCCTCCTGCAGTGTCCAGTTCTAAGTCTGCTTTTATTAGTGATGATGATATTGCTAAATATGTCAATTCTTGCTATGAAGATGACGATTTTGTGGAAGATATTGAATATGTAACTTCGTTTACTTGCATTTCATAATTTTTTTCCTAAACTGCTGTCAAATCAGCAAAAATGCCTTGGCAATTTTAGCATAGTTCCTAGGATATTGGTTGGCACTCAAAGGGTTAAGACCTAAAGGCCAGATTTCAGAAGCAATAAGAATGTAACATTTCTAATACTGTTACCATTTGCTTCCTGAGTAAATAGCACTCCCCCACCTCCCATGTTGCATTCCTTTTAATGTGACATTCAAATGTATGAAGATAGTTTCTGTTGCCCCAAGAATTTGGGTTCCAGTGTAAGTGAAATCAGTTCTTACTTTTCAGGGGAGCTGTAGTAAAGCAAGTTCACGATGAGGGGAGGTCCTAGTATTAGGAGGGGAAGAGGGGACCCTCTCCCTCCCCTCTCCCACCCCTCCGCCATCCTCCCTGTTTCTTTCCTGCTCTCTCTGCTATTGCTTTTGAAAAATTAGCTTGAGAGAAGGAAGAAAAACATCTGCAAGAATTTGTGTCCTCTGAGGATGGCTTGAGGGTCAGAGTTTGTAGGGCCTCTCAGGATTAGCGTGCGCCTCATGAGGAGCGGGTAGGAGGGTCAGATTACTCTTGAGAGATTTTCAGTTTGGGTTCTTTGCTCTGAGCTTTATAACGTCATTTGGGACTTAAGGTAATGGAAATGTAGTTTAGTACTTAACAATACTACAAATGAATCATCTTTTTCACAAGGTCATCATCGTAAATGTAAAAATATTCCTTAATCATAGGTCCTCTTAAGAAATTGGTTTTAGGAAACTTATTCTAAAATAGAAGTTCCTGACCAGTGTTCATCAGGGCCCCTTGAGACCAGGTGAAAGCCATTGGATTCTCTCTCCAAAATAAAATAAACTGTATACGCAAAATTTTCAACCTATTTCCTAGGTGGCTGGATGGAAAGGACAGGTTTCCTTGTTTTCATGTCTAAGCTTTAGGAACTGTTCATTCTACACATTGGAGCACCTGTTAGGGTGCTGCTGCAGGTGCTAAGTTCTGGCTCTCTACTGAGGGCAATAATCAGAAGACAATCTGATATTAGTTAAGGACAAGTGGAACAGAATGTGACGGTGCTGCAGGAGAGGCCACGTGAGGTGGGGTAGCTGGGAAAGGCCCTAAAGAAGTGCCAGTGAATGACTAGCATGAGGAGAAAGCCACCCGTGCAGCAAAGGAACACCAAGCACAAAGAATTTGAGAAGGAAACGGGTAGGGGGTGTTCCAGAAACCAAATATGAAGCACTGAGCAAAGACAAAACCCGGTGAAGCAGACACAGGACACGCAGAGACCACCACTAAGGAGCAGGAAAGAGCCACGGGTCTCAGGTGATCCCACGTTGACCCTGCCTTTTGAAGGCCTCCAAGGGAGCGGATACAATGGAGTAGACCAGGCACCAGGAAGGAAGATCCCGGGCCCCGCCCCACCCCACTTTTAGGGCTCTAATGGGTAAGCCTGAGTTTCCATTCAGGTGGAGGTTGGATTTCTTAGTTCCCTCTGCCCCCAAATTATTTCAGTCCTTTGGAGTACTTTAAAGTACAAGAGAGTAAGAACTACCTCAAACTTCACCATCCACAAATAGGAAACTGCTGGGGGCAGTGTGTGTATAAACACTGGAGCAGGCTGGGGAGGAGGGGGAGGAAGAGACTGGCCCATGCTGGCCAAGAGGAAACCAAATATAACCTATCCCCATTAATCTGACCATTACAGGACTGTTATTTGTACTTTGTAAGAAAATGTCTCCAGCTGAGGTAGCAGGCTCTCAGGGTACTTCCCCTTTGATAACAAAAATAGGTGAGGCAGGTGACATGGCAATGATTTCAGTCACCAATCCCAATCCCCCCTCCCAAGGGCTACCAGGAGCCCTAATTTTGCAACAGTGATTCTCAACTAGCCGTGACACTGCCACCAGGGAACACTTGGCAATGCCTGGAGGGAGGGGTTAAGGTTGCCATCGACATCTGGTGGGTAAAGGCCAGGGATGCTGCTAAAAACCCTGCCACACACAGGCAGCCTCCGTCACAGGATTACCCAGCCCCAAGTTCTGAACTACCAGAAACCAGCTGGTACGTAGTGATGGCTTTTGCACAGCTTCTTGGTGGAAAGTTTGAGCAGCTAAAACCATACTAATAACGCTAAGCAGTTCTTCAAGTATTAGCTGGATACCGACCAAGAATCACACTTTCTCTTTAAGTTGTAGTATGAATATATTTCTTTACTAGGACTCTCACAACAATGATACATTAGCACTGTCCTTCTGACGTGATCAAGAACACATACTTCTGACCCACATCGTGGCGGGACAGGAAATGGGTAAAGGCTCTCAGAGCTGATACCAAGTGTCCACTGAAGAAGTCTATTCACCAGAAAGGACGTTTCCTTGGACTCCATCACCTCTGTTGTAGCTTCGTCTCCAAGACTTGCCCAGAATCCTTCAGTCCAGCACCAGCTGACTCTACTTTCTCTTGCCACTCCAGACTCCTTTAAGACCTAGGTCAACTGCTCCATGTCTCACTAGCCCAGGCCACTTTTGGAATCCTGCAGCACACATCCCTTTGGTATGCTGCTGTCCTCCACCCTCAGGGGCACAATTGGGAGGGTTTTTTTTTTTGGGGGGGGGGGGGCGGGGCTGGAGGGTGAGGGGGGAAGGAAATATATTTCCAAAAGCAAACGGTAGGGGTACATTAATAAATGACACTTGGGCATACAACTACCTCACAGGATACATGCTTCTTCCTCAAATGATGCATAGTACCCTAGAGAGCAAAGGAACCCCTGGATCATGTATGGAATGATTCTGTATGCCAGGCACAGGGAGATCAAGTGGGTGGTGTCTACTTCACCATGCCCTGTACACAAAAGGGTTAGTGCCTCAAAGCTGGAACCGGATCTCTCTACCCTGGCTCTTTCCTGCTTTTGAATGGTGTCACCACTCTGCTTCTACCTGTTCTGGGCTTAGTTCATTTTTCAAAAGGGAGGAAAGATAGCAGAGGAAAGTGGAAGAGGAGGGTTAGGGGTGGGGTGGGTGTGGGGATGATAATCTATACGACAAAACAAAAACAATTCAAAAATATAAAAAGATTTACTACTACAATATTTTATAACAATAGAAGGTAGCTGGAAATCCTACATGGTAACACAGACAATATGATACACAATCGAGGGGGAGGAGGCAAGAGAGAGCGTGGCAGAGGCCACGGTTTAGACTAAGAGCCTTTCAATGGACTGCTGAATGGACTGGATCTGCTGCTTCAGCTGGGAGCCTTCTTTGATGGTGACAGAACAGGCGATGACAGGCCTGGAGACCCCGCAGGCCCGCCCCAGCGCCTGCTTGGAGCGCACAAACACGTAGGGCACGTTCTTGTCTTCACACAGCAGCGGGAGGTGCAGGATGATCTCCAGGGGCTCTGCGTCTGCAGCCATCACAATGAACTCAGAGATGCCTCTGTTAAGGGTTTTGGTGGCTGTAGAGAGAAGGACATGAGGCCAATAGGTGATGGGGGGTTTGGGCAGGGAAGCCACAACAAAGCCATTTCCAAGGAAAAGAAACACATGCAAGAAAACTGGGCAAAACTCTCACACATAAGCAAGTCTCTGCCCTGTAGTGGCCTTGGGAAGTGACAAGGGATTTAAGTGCCAGTTGGTTATCCTCAGTGCCTTCCTCAAACCCATCAGTTCTGTCAGAGCACATCCTGAATCAGTCCACTTCCTTCCTCTCCTCTGTACCACATGTCCAAGTCACCGCCATCTCTTGCCTGGTTGATCGGAACAGCTTTCACACAAGCCCCGCCAGCAGGAAGCAGAGCATGCAGCACTTCTCAGACTCTGTGATCTGTGACAGTTTTACCATCTCAACCTGCCACGATCAATACTTCTGACAAGCTCACATGCAACTCACCCAGGAAGCACACCACCACCAGCATCGTTCTAATGCTTATTCCTGACTGTCTATCTCTGTGGCCCAGCGCCAGCACACGGACCACACTCTGCATTAATGCTCAAGTACTAGACAAGGGCACAGGCTCTAGAGCAGCGGTTCTCAACCTTCTGGCCCTTTAAATACAGCTCCTCATGTTGTGACCCAACCATAACATTATTTTCGTTGCTACTTCATCACTGTAATGTTGCTACTGTTATGAATCGTCATGTAAATATCTGATATGCAGGATGGTCTTAGGTGACCCCTGTGAAAGGGTCGTTCGACCGCCAAAGGGGACGCGACCCACAGGTTGAGAACCACTGCTTTAGTATCTAATGTAAAAATGCTGTTCTCAGGTCCTCGCACTGGTCCCAATCAAGAGTACCCGGCCCTCTTTCTGTACTGGAAACCTAGACCAGGGACTCCTGCCGAGTCAGGTGCTTTCAACAGCCCCCCTGGAACACGCTGGCTGCCTTACCCTCATTGGCTCCTTTTCGAAGCTGCTTGTAGTTACATGACTGCTGAACGAGGTCCAATAGTTTTTTGGTGAGGTGGGCATCTGCGAGAGGGTAGGCCTTCGGATTTACATCAGCCTCAGTCTATGGGGGTGAAATCAAAGCACCAGTGAAAATGAACCACAAGCTGTTCCAGACCAGTCACAAAATAATCGACAACTGAGACACAACGGTCAGCTTCCCTGCTTCCTCACCCCCAAACACACTTATAAATGACACTAGAGCCACACTGCCCAGTTTTTCTAAGTTAGGAGCACACTCTGAACTTAGGAAAACTGAATTAGGACTTAAACACAAAGTTAATTACATAATCCAAAAATGTATACTAAAGGTCATATACTTTTAAACTTGCCTCTCTTTAGCTTAATGCTTGGTAATAATCCACAGCAAATGGATTATAAATGGGCTCCCATGGCTCAGTTTCAATGAGTCACACTGGGGTAATCTTTAAATTTAGATTTTTGTACTCTATACTATACTAAGTTTACTGAATCAAAATTAAGGTATAATTGCCCATCCAGTGTGGCTCATTGGGTTAAGCGTCATCCCATGCATACAGAAGTCACTGGTTTGATTCCCAGTCAGGGCACATGCCCAGGTTGAAGGCTCGATCCCCAGTAGGGGGTGTGCAGAAGGCAGCAGATCGATGATTCTCTCATCATTGATGTTTCCATCGCCCTCTCCCTTCCTCTCTGAAATCAATAAGAAAAATATTTTAAAAAAGACTTTGATTCTAATACTAGATATTTTAATATTAAGAAATTACTCCCTGCCCTAACCAGTTTGGCTCAGTGGATAGAGCGTCGGCCTGCGGACTGAAGGGTCCCAGGTTTGATTCCTGCCAAGGGCATGTACCTGGGTTTCGGGCACATCCCCAGTAGGGGGTGTGCAGGAGGCAGCTGATCAATGTTTCTCATCAATGTTTCTAACTCTCTATCCCTCTCCCTTCCTCTCTATCAAAAAATCATATATATATATATATATATATATATATATATATATATATATATATATACACACACACATAGAGAGAGAGAGAGAGAGAGAGAGAAAGAGAAATTATTCCATTCCTCCCATCTCATTCCCACCTGACCAGTTTAACCATTTTCATTAATTTCTCATTTGTTTTCTCTGTGATTCTTTTTATAAATGTATTTATATTATATATACAATCCAAATGCAGCCCAACACCACTATCTCATGAGTCCAGCTGTCTGCCAATGGAAGTTTGGTCCATCCCTGGGTCTGGGGACTGAACCTTCTTGGCAGGCCACATGCAGCACCACCAGTTGTAGGCGGTGACTTGTGGGTGATGGCCAGGTGGGAACACTCACAACTGCATCTGTCGAGACTGAGATGACCCACCCCTGGAAGGAGCAGGAAGTGATATTAAGGGCCAGATTTTACCAAGACACCTAGTCCTTAACACAGTGGCTCTCAACCTTCCTAATGCCGCGACCCTTTAATACAGTTCCTCATGTTGTGGTGACCTGCAACCATAAAATTATTTTCGTTGCTACTTCATAACTGTAATTTTGCTACTGTTATGAATTGTAATGTAAATATCTGATATGCAGGATGTATTTAGGCGAGCCCTGTGAAAGCGTCGTTCGACCCCCAAAGGCTTAACACATGATCCCTGGGTGATGAGCAATTAAATTAGGCGAGGGCTGAAGGAGTTACCTGAAGTAGTGGGTAAGAAAGACTTTATTATCTGTCTGCTCTTCTCCATACATTTTAGAATTAGCTTTTCAAGGTCCACAAAAAAGCCTGCTGGGACAATGTCTGATTTGTAGATTTGATATAATAATCCCAGTAACACAACTTTAGGATGCAGAATCTGTCAATCCCATTCATATTAGTGCCTTTAAGTAAAGTTTTATTAATCTCCAAAAGCCTTATTATCTTTTATACTTATTCCTAGATACTTCAAATTAAGAAAATTCACTGAATTTCTTAGTGTGCTACGAGCTTCTCCTTTAATAAATAAATTGGTGCTGAATTCTATCAGATTTTCTGCACTGACTCAGGTGAATAAGATTTTTCTTCTTTAATCTTTACAGGTTTTCTAATGTTAAACCAATTTTGCATTCTTGAGATAAAAACAACTTAAGATTTTATTTTAGATCTACTAGCTAATGAACATAGTTTCTTTGAGGGATAATAAAAATGCTCTAAAATTCAATAAATCGATGGTCACACAACTCTGTAAATATATGAACCCACTGAATTATATACACTTTAATGAAGTTAACGTTATGGCATGTAAATTATCTCAATAAAGCTATTTAATAAACTAGGTCTAGAGATTCTTCAAGGTTAAAATAATTTTATGTTAGGCCCTGGCCAGGCAGCTCAGTTGATTATTGAGTGTTATCTCCATACACCAAGACTGCAGTTTCAATCTCCAGTTAGGGCACATACAAGAATCAACTAACGAGTGTATAGATAAGTGGAACAAATTGATGTCTCTCTCTTTCCCTTCCCCCTCTCTAAAACCAATCAATAAAAATATTTTGACTTCAGAGAGGAAGGGTGAGGGAGACAGAAACATCAAAGATGACAATCATTAATCTGCTGCCTCCTGCACACCCCACACTGGGGAATCAAACCATGACCTCCTGGTTCAAAGATCTGTGCTCAACCACTGAGCCACACTGGCCAGGCTTGTTCTTTACCTACTTTCTTAGTTCTTTTCCCCCCAACATAAGCATTTAAAAAAATTTATTGGTTGTTTAAAGAAAGGGAGAGAGAAGCATCGATTTGTCATTCCTCTCATTTATGGATTCATTGGTTGATTCTGGTGAACAGAGATGACACTCTAACCAACGGAGCTACCCGGCCAGGGATATATATTCTTTCCAAACACTTTGTTATTGATCCCTAATTTATTTGTGTTTTCGTTGGGAGAATATGATCTGTATTATTATCAATTGTTCAAAATTTGGTGAACTTGTTTTATGATCTAGGAAGTAGCCAGTCTTCATAAATGTTCCGTGCTTGGAAAGTGCCTTTTATACTTGTCAGGTGCAATATTTACTACATTCACTATGATCACTAAACCAAGTTTACTTATAGTCTTGTTAAAATCCTCTATTTCCATACTGACGGTTTCACTTCATAATCGAACAATTATACACTTAAATGCTGTATGATTGCATATTTGTCTATTTCTTCTTGCAATGATATCATTTTCACATGTGTCTTGTATTTTTTGGCCACTCTCTATCTTTACAGATCATTTCTTTCTGATGTTCATATAGGCTTCAGAACACTTTTTAAATTGGCATATCTTTTCCATTCTTTTACTTCAATCTGTCCTTCAACTGGAGCATTTAGTCTGCTTTTATATTTACTTTTATATTTAAGTACTGACTGTGTAAATTAAGTAAACACTGAATTCAAATCTTCCTTCTTTTTGTGCCTCAGATCAGTCCCACATGTTTATTTTTTCTTTCTTTTCTTCCTTTAGATTTATAATTAATTTTTCTCTACTATTTTCCCCTCTACTAGTTTGGAGTGGTATATTTTTTTTCTTTTGGTGCCTACCTGGATAAAGGATATTTGTCAAAATCTAATTCTCAACAACAATCATCACCTCCTAAACAATAAAGGACCCAACACTTGAATTCCAATCACTCCTCAAAGTTACGTTTTAAAATGTCAGGTATTTCCATTGTGATTTCCACCAACCCATCTCTGGAAGTAAGTATCCTCAGCTCTCAACAAACATCAAGTGCAAACAAGGGGAGCCTGCCCGCCCATCCAAGAGGAATCATCTTATCTGTCAACAATAACAGAAGGTCAGCTACCGATGTTAGAAATAGCAACAGCAATTTCTTAGTGTACTTACACATTCTTCCAAAAAAATGTTTAATGCTCACCGGAGCACATGCTTAGGGAGAGGAAAGGGGGTCGGGGTGGCGGGGGTAGAAACGTGGATGGGTTGCTTTCTGCACCGACAGGGGATCGAACCCGAAACCTTTTGGTGCACAGGACGACGCTCAACCAACTGAGCCACTCGGGCCGGGCCCCATCTTTTTATTTCTTAAAGGGTTAACTAAACCATGAATGAGATCACTAGCTAGCTTTAACCCTAGCTCCACCAGTTTGGCCTCCTGTACAGCAGACAGCCCCAAACTGGAACCGCACGTGGGGCTACCAGGACCTGACTTCGGAGACCACAGCTTCGCCGGAGCCTTTATTTACTGCACCCCCAGCCGGGGCTCGGGGATCCCCCACATTCCCCGCCCCGAACGCCAAAGGCTCCCTCCCTAGGTCCGGGCACGTGTGACTCGCGGCGAGCACTCGGCGCAGATCCTCGCTGGAACATCAGCCCCGGGAAGTGGGGTGGGGGGGGCGGATCTGAATCCAGCGAGTCCGCACCATCCTCTAGAGACCCCTGCTCCCCAAACAGAAAAGATGGAGCCAGGTTTCTCACCCAACTTTCTCCTCTCTCCCACGTGGGCTGGCCTCTTTCTCCCAGGTCGGACCGTGCCCGCCCCGCTCACCAGAGGCCGTCGGCAGCGCGCACGGACGGCTGCACCCCGCTCGCAACGGCTGGGACCCTAAGGCTCTCGGGGCTCTGACCTGCGGCGGGGCTGCTGGGACCGCACGGCCGCCCGAGTTCAGACTCGGGGCCGGACGGCCGGGCTACGCAACTCCCGGACGCCGGTCCCGCCCGGCCTGGCGCCGAACCTCGCACGTTTAAGCCCCTGCAGGGCCGCGAGTGGCCCGAACCCCGGGTCGCCCGCCTCCCGGCCCTCCCGCCCGCGCGCGCACGCACCATCGCTGCGGTTCCGCGGGCTCGCCTCCCCTCCAGACGCGCCGCCGACCGACGTCAGAGAAGGAGCGCTCAATCCACCGCAAAGTCTCACGGAAGTAGTGGAAATGGCCGCGCGTGCGGCCGGAAGCGGAAGTGATGTCACCGAGAGTGGGCTGGCCGCGCCCGCTCAAGAGCCAGAGGGAAGGGGTGCGTGGAATGGCTTCATTCAGTCCTGGGCTTGGGGCCTCATTTTGCTGGGTTTTTATTTTTATTTTTTATTTATTTATTTTTTTACCATCATTCTACATTGCAGGCAAAAACAAGTTAAACCTAAAAAAAAAAAAAATGCACCAAAACAAAGAGTTTCAATGGTGACATTATTCCATTGCCGGCTTATGTTTCAGCCCATTCTTGTGTTTAAAATCATCTTTTTGACTCATCACCGGAGAGGGAAAGGTATGGGGATACTGATAAGTAATCCTAAATGTTTTCCTTCATGTTCAGCTATCTGGGTTAAGATTTCTGAAAGGGTGTGGGATCCACCAGAAATGGAATCAATTGAGTAGGGAATTCAGGAAGGAGCAGGCTTGGGGGTGGGGGTTGAGTTTCTGTCAGGTTGAGTTTGGAGATGTCCTAGGACAGCCATGCTCTCCTGCCCAGCATACTGTCCTTTCCTCTATGCTTCTCCGACTCTCCGTCATTTAAGGCTGGACTCACGCCTCCCCACTTCCAGTAGGTCCTGTCTGATGCTTATGGCCCTTACTCATCTCTCTCCAGCATGATGTCAGGCATATCTTCGGACCATTAAGGACTCGTTTCAGTTAATTCCTTTGGAAACCTAGAAGTAGAGGACTGGCAGGACCCTTAGGAGTCATACAGCCCAGCCCCTTCATTTTACAGACACTGATGCCCAGGGAGAGGAAGCTGCTTACCCACCGTCAGAGTGAGGCAGTGGCAGAGCCTGGACTGGACCTTGGCATTTTGGGCTCTTAGCCTGGGTTAGTTTCACTAAATCGAATTGCCCTGCTTGAGATGAGTTGTGGCATTGGACAACAGATGGGTTTGAACTGGCTCCAGGACTGAGCACTTATTACATCAAAAATCCCTCCAGCACACTTCACCTCATGCAAATCATATATGATTGTCAAAGAACAAAATCTGTCTCCAAATTAAGAAATGTCTATTGATGGCTCCTGTTTAAGAGCAGGACCTGTGATGCAGGCTCTGCTCTTCACCTCTCTTGGATGCCGTTTCCTGTTATCATATTAGTTGGACCTACCACCCACCACTGCTGGAGGAATGAAACCTTATTATTCCAGTTTAATAGGTGTGTTCTTATCATTTGCTTTTTTATGTCTTTTATAACAATTTCTGCTTGTTATTTGGCCTACCTGGCATCTTGGGCCATCATATTCCAGATCTGATAGGGACTTGATGTTTTCATGACCAAGAGTAATGAGACCTCACATTTTACCTAATTAATCCGTTTCCCAACTATGTAATTACTCAATTTCCATGTTCTCTCAGAACTAGCCCACCCTTTTGTATCTTGCTGTTTCCCTCACTAGTAAGTTAATTAATATTGACATATGATCAGGATCAACTTGCCTTAGGAATTTGTCTTTTACCACACTTCTGTCCTTAAAAACCTAAATCCTTGCCATGGCTTATTAGACCCCTCTTTAGTACTCTGCCTCATCTGCATGTTATAGTCCCATTCACTTTCATTTTTTTCTTTTATTTTTTAAAAATATATTTTTATTGATTTCTGAGTGGAAAGGAGAGAGAGAAAGAGAGAGAGAGAGAGAGAGAGAGAGAGAGAGAGAAACATCAATGAGAGAGAATCATTAACCAGTTGCCTCCTGCAATGCCCCACACTGGGGATTGAGCCAGCAATCTGGGCATATGCCCTGACCGGAAATAGAACAGTGACACCCTGGTTCATAGGTTGATGCTCAACCACTGAGCCATGCCGCTGGGCCCCACCTTCGTTTTCTACCCTGAGCACACCCAATACCTCCAGCCCCTTTCATCACCCTCTGTTGGGAGTTCTGAGTAGCTAGGTCCTATTCGCCATCTCTTCAGTGAAGCCTTCCTGATCACCCAGACCAGGTAATTTCCCCTCTTAGGCGCACCCACAAGCCCCCTGTATTTGCCATTTGTATCACTCATTGACCTTGTCTTTATTGTGTTCACTGTTCCAACCACGCAGAGCTCTATGAGAGCAGGATCTGTAGCTGCTTTGGACGCTGCGGCTACCTATCTTCTGGCACTACGCCTAGCCCAAAGGGAATGCTTGTTTCACTTAGGGACCTCTGGTAGCAAGCAACCAAAAGGAATTTGGGAAAATATTCTGTGGTGCAGCCCAGAGGTTCAAGGGGAGCTGATTGTGAGAACAGGACCATCCACAGGCAATGTCCTCCAGCCAGAGACCACCAAGAACACACCTATAGCGGTATTACTCATTGCAACAAGGGAGAATGCACACCATGAAGAACGGTGGGACTTTTCAATAAGAGGGTGTTAGAAAAGACTTAATATAGGATTTGGGCTTGTGTTAGGTGATTTTAGAGAGGTATTCAAGGAAGTGGCATTTGCTCTAGATCAGACACCGTCAGGAAGTAATCCTGTGGTGGGGCATTATGATAAATTTTATCTACAAGGTGGAAGAAATGAACTGAGGCTAAAGCTATAATTGAGAAAGTCACTCACTCATATTAGCCAGGATAAGAGGATGTTTGGTTATTTTTGCAGTTTCAACAATGCTCATGTTTTTGTCTACTAGTATGTTCAGACATGATTAAAGAGTGGTCTTTTTGCCGAAACCGGTTTGGCTCAGTGGATAGAGCGTCGGCCTGCGGACTGAGAGGTCCCGGGTTCGGTTCCGGTCAGGGGCATGTACCTGGGTTACGGGCATATCCCCAGTAGGAGATGTGCAGGAGGCAGCTGATTGATGATTCTCTCTCATCGATGTTTCTAACTCTCTACCTCTCTCCCTTCCTCTCTGTAAAAAATCAAAAAAAAAAAAAAAAAGAGTGGTCTTTTTTTTAATCTTGATTCTCACAGTTAGAGTGGCTTTGTCTAATATTGATGTTCTATGAAATTAGCAGGAAAACACCAAGGCCCAACTATGAGTATGAGGCTAGGTCCTAGCAACATCAAGGTCTAACTGGTAGAGCTGGGTCAGCTTCTAGCTGCCATGAGCTGCTTTTCTTTTTATCACCAGCTTCCTATGCCTACTTTGAATCTTTGTTCTTGATGTTTAGAGCCCTGGAAGAGAGAGCCCATTTGGCCATTTGGTCACTCCTCCACTCCTTGGCTGTCTTGGGTCTGTGAGAGAGTGCCAATATAAACTGGGGTGACATTCAGCCAGGATACATTGAGTAGCATATTTGGTTTGTAAAGTAGAGAAATACTTCCCAAATGGTTGGTTAAATAGATGATTCCACTCTCCCAAGACTCCACAGGCCACTTACAACCCAGGTATTAAAGGGTTAAGGCCTGGCCCATTTTGATTGGCTGATATCCCTGTCAGCTCTGTTACTTAATAATTTGAATATAATCTTTAGGTGAAAGACAGTAGCATTTATTCAGGGTAGCATCTCCCATCAACACTGATCCTGAGATGGGAAAAGTAATTTGGGGTGGTGAAACAAGAATATATATATTTAATACAGTGTTCATTAAGTGTTTGATATTGGATAGACATGGACAAATGTATAAAAGTATCTAATAGGAAGAAAGAAATAAGCAGACTACAGGTTACATCACCCATCATCCATGGGGGAACTTATCTCTTCCTTCAAAGGACAAATTCTTCTTCCTCTTAATTCCTGTGGGCAGTCCCCCAGCGCTGCCCTTACCTGCACTGAAGTCAGTCATGTTAGGTAGCTCGCGTGCTGGGCTCAGAAGCTGGAGCTGAGGCTGGAGCTGAACTGGAGCATCAGGCTCCTTTGTGAGGTGTCCTCAGTGACAGAGGTGCTGTGAGGCAGGGGCTACCCCACCCCCACCTGGCTGGGATAGCCACACCAGTCCTGCCCTCCAGCTCCCTAATGCCACCTGCCTGACCTAAGCTTTTCATGCTGTTGCCCCTGCTGGGCGCCTGTGCGGTGGTGGGGCCATTCCAGGGCCCTGAGTGAAAGCCAGTGAGGGGCCTGCTCTCTGGGGATCAGAGCTGCAGGGACCCTCAGGGATGCGGCAACCTGCTTGCCCTCTGCCTCTTTGTGATCTAGCAGGTCCGGCACTATTGACACCAGATCATCAGGACACCCCCCAGCATGAGGAATATCATCAAGGTGAGGGGTCCCACGTACCTCCTTCCCTCAGTCGTTTGTCACCAAAACCCTGTCCTATGGCTTGTGTACAGAGACGAATCATACTGGGGAACTCAGACTGGTCAGGGAGCACGTCCTCCTGCCCCAAGCCCAGTGGGTCATCCTGGGATCCTCTCTTCCTCACTCCACCTACCCAATCCATTTACAGGTACCACGGGCTCCGCTTGCATCCCGCATCTCAAATCTGATCACTCCTCAGAACCGCACCACACCTTCCTGGCCAAAGCTCCCTTGTGTCTCACCCGGACTTCCCCACCACTTCTCTCACTCAGCCACAGCCAGGGCTCCACACAGGCAGCAGAGCAGAATGACCTTCTTTCTTTTTCTTTTAAAAATGTAATCTAAGGAAAATGTACACACACAGACTCTAAGTGTATATAGGTCAAGGAATGTTCACAAACTGAACACATGCATGTGCAGCACCCAGGTTAAGAAATGGACCATTACCAGCAGCCCAGAAGCTTGCAGTCACAAGTCTGCTGATTTCTAATAGCACAGACTATTGTGGAATCATACAAGAAGTTTTCTTTTGCACCCAGTTTATGCCTAACATTGTGCTTAGGAGCCAGAACACACTTTTACAAACAGATCGTAGTACTTTGCCACTCAAAACCCAGTAATGGCTCTTTTTTAAAAATATACATATTTTTATTGATTTTAGAGAGGAAGAGAGAGATAGATAGAAACATCAATGATGAGAGAGAATCACTGATCAGCTGCCTCCTGCACACCCCCTACTGGGGATCGAGCCCGCAACCTAGGCATGTGCCCTTGGCCGAAATCGAACCTGGGACCCTTCAGTCCGCAGGCCCTCACTCTAACC